TAAAACTTATAGTTGTGTATTTAAGTTATTTTTCCAAAAATAAAGGGAAAGAGTTGATGTGGGCTGCTGAAAGGGAGAAATTGGAGTGGGCTTGGGAATTAATTAAAATGGAGTGGGTTGGAAGGGAATAAAAGGGAGAAGGGAATTAGGTTAATTTAATAAATAGTCAAATAGAGTTAAGATGATAAATTTGGCTAAACCTTAAATAAAACGAATTTGTATTAATTAATTAACGAGTTTCTTTATTTAGTAATTTATTTAAATTGTAAAATAGTTATTTTAAAAATATAACCATGTTTTAAATTAAACTAGCTTAATAGAATACTTACCAAACTTAAAATATTCTTTTTAAAATGGTTTTTGAATAATCATAAAATATATCAATTATATACATAACAATGTAAAATATATATATTATCTAAAGTTATGATAAAAGTATCCGAAGTAACATAAAGTTCATGCATTATATTATTATATTTTCGTAAAATTTATAAAACTAATTAATTTAAATTGTTTGGAAAATTTACGAAGCTCGATAATTAATTTATACCGACGTGGGTCAAAATTGGGTGTCAACAATATAAAGATTTGTGGACTTGGAAAAATGAAGGCATTGTTTTAGCAGCTGAAGAAAAAAATGAGACACATGATTTATACAAATTGAATGTGCTAGAGAGGCCGAAAGTAATTCACAATGAGAAGACAGATAAATATGTGATGTGAATGCATATTGATGATGCAAACTATGCCAAAGCTTCGTAGGTGTTGCTATTAGTAATTTGCCTACTGGCCCTTTTAATTATTTGTATAGCAAGCAGCCTCAAGGATATGATAGCAGGGACATGACACTGTTCAAAGACGACGACGGTGTAGCATATCTGATTTACTCATCGGAACACAACAAGGACCTTCATATTGGTCCACTGAACGAAGAATATACAGATGTTACGGACAACATGAGAAAGATTCTTATCGGACAACACAGGAAACACCTGCTCTATTTAAGCACCAGGAACATATTACATGATCACATCTGGCTGCACTAGTTGGTCTCCAAATGAGGCCCTTGCTCATGCATCTGAATCAATTATGTGGCCTTGGGAGACCATTGGAAACCCATGCATTGGCGGGAACAAGATTTTTCGACTAACTACTTTCTTTGCTCAGGGTACATTTGTGGTTCCTTTATCTGGGGTACCTGGTCTTTTTATTTTTATGGCAGATAGGTGGAATCCAGTTGACTTGAAGGATTCGAGGTATGTGTGGCTACTGTTAACAGTGGGCAGACAATTAGACCATCATCCCGAGTATAGTTTCGGGCTCCCTTTGTGGTCTAGAGTATCTATATATTGGCATAAGAAATGGAGACTTCCTTATAGGTAACAATGAAAAGTGTAAATAGAGGTATTAAACTCTAATTATTATTTTTTTGTAAAACATGTTCTGTATTCATCCACAACATGTGTTGGAGTTACTACTGTTGATTTAAAAAAAGGATCATTATTGGTGTAAATTTGTAGAGTTTGAGCTGATGGACCCAAATTTTTTTCTATGAAATATACACACTGCAATTCTTGAGCTAGAATCACTTTTTTTTTTCTTAGTGTTGGATTTGTTTTCTATAACAACATAATATACGATATGGTCCCACAGCCACAAGTATAAATAGTTACAACAACTAATTCTTTTAGACGCTCGAACTAGTTATTACATATACACGATCTAACTTAGCAATGTCCCGTAAAAAAAAGTGGAAAAAATTACTTCTCTCAATTTCAATTCATGTGACTTTTTCTTTTTTTCTGTCAATTTTAAAGCGAATGACATCTTCAATGAAGTTTTGCAAAAGTAATCTTTAATGTTTACATGACTTGAAGAATAAGGAGGTTTTGTTGCGGGGAGAAGTGATTTTGTTAATATATTCATTCCAACTATCTTGTCAAATTTCATATATATATATATATATATATATATATTACTTTTTGTAATTATTATTATTTTTTTCTTCAAATGGACAGATTTTAGGTGGGGTGGGGTTCAACCACAAATTCTATACTATTTTATTTTATTTATTTTGTCATATTATTCACGACTTTTAATGAATGAGTAAATCTTACATCCATAATATTAGGACAGTTGAAGTTGGTCCCTACTTGTTAAGTAGTAAACCAATGGATTACATTAATAAACAAATAACATCCCAAAATAGCCACCATGTTTGAGAAATTACTTAAGAATATCACTTATGTTTTTTTTCAGGACTACAATATCATCCAACTTTACCTATTTTTCTCAAACTATACTTGACACAAAAAAATATATCATCTCTCTCCTACTAGGATGTCATGTCACATTATTTATCCTTTTATTATTAAAAAAATATGCTCTAAACCTATTTAAACATTAGGTGCAATATTTTTTTTTTAAATTTTTTTTTTTTCTATTTATGTTTTTTAAAAAGTGTTTTGTTTTTTAGATATATAAAGATAAATTCTAAAAATGAATAAAAAAGAATTACCCCATTTCTATAACTAACTAGTAGTGGATTGTTTAAATATTTTTTTTAAAAAAGTTTTTTAATTTTTTAATGATAATTATTATTTTTTAATATAAGTTTTTAAATTAATTTTTTAAATAATAATTATAGGTTTTTTATGGTGCACTTTTTTTCTACTCCTATTTAGATAGATATTTCTACATTCCATTTTGTTGGAGCATTCCCTAAAATCACTGAAAGTGTGATAAATATAAATAGATGTTAGTTTCCATTTTTTAACCTTAAAAATTAAAATTTGAAGCATTTGAAGATCTTTCATTTTCCCCCCTGTAATAGCCATTATTGTTTTTATAAAAAAAAAGTTCAATTTCAATTTTTTTTCTTTTAAAATTGAAATTAGAGGCATTTAAAAATCATCCATTTTTTTGTCGTTACAGTTTTTTTTAACAAAAGAACTTTTATTTTCTATTTAAAATAGTTGTATTAAAAATTCTATTTTTTTAATTATATTTTTAGAGCATATTTAAAATACTTTTTGAAAAATTAAAATTCTTAAATATTTGTGGTGCTGACATGTAACACTTTTTACTTCTCCTATTATATATAGATAGATATTTTTATAAAAAAATAGACAAACCCACATATTATACCCAGTAAAAAAAATTACATCAAGAATTATAATATGAGCTCCTTCGCTTCTTCAAGAAAATATGTGGGTTCCTCCTATTCTTTAAAAGAATTAGAAAAATATTAATAATAAGTTAAAAAATGTGACATGACACCCTAGTAGGAGAGAAATAACGTATTTTCTTGTGTCAAGTATATTTTGAGGAAAATAGGCAAAGTTGGGTGATGTTGTAGACCTAAAACAAACATAAGTGATATTCCTAGGTAATTTTCCAAACATGGGTGACTATCTAGGGAAATTACTCAACTTTTGAACCGCGAGCTAAACTTTAGTACTCCCCCCGTCTAGTATTGTTTGTCATGGTTTCTATTTTTAGAGTCAAAATATAAAAACTTTGACTAATATTTTAAGATGTACTTTTTCATCATATTAATATGCAAAAAATTGTAATTTATAATACTTTTCATATAATTTTAGAATATCTAATTTTTTTTTGTTTAAAATATCGAATTAATATGATCTAATTTTTCTTTAAAAATTAGTCAAATTGACTTGCGATAATCGTAACATGACAAATAATTCTGGACGGAGAGAGTATCATCTCACTATTCAAATTTAGACACTTTTTAACGTAATTTTTTTTAACAAAAATATTCTTATCTAAATCATGAAAATCCTTATGTACAAATAATATGTCGAAGTTTAAATTTTTTACAAGTGAACTCCACCATACTATACCCTATTACCGTATATCGAAGTTACAACTTGATTTTTAAATAAATTTTCTACTTAAACTCCAGAAATTAATAAACATAAAAGGTTAGAACTCATGACATTATTTTGAACTTAAAAGAAATAGGGTAACTTTCACATATATCAAATAAAAAATTCATATTTGTATGTTATGACAAAGTTTGCATAATTGCGCTCCATAGCAAACATAGAAACTGTATGGTTCGCTATACATATACAGTTGAAGCAAGTTGTATAAAACGAAGTGTATAAAACAAGAAAGAGAAAGACACTTAGGCAGAGAACTATATAAAAACGAATTGTATTATTATAAGTGTATAACAATTATATACAATTTGAATTTGTATAAAATGAGAAAGAGAGAAAGACAAAAGAGACTTGACAAGGAATATACAATTGAATCGAATTATATAAAACGAGAAAGAGAAATCTTAGATACAATTTAAAAATTGTATAAAACGAGAAAGAGAGAAAAACAAAAGAAATTGGGCAGGGGAGTATTTTTATTGTATAATTATAAGTGTATAGGACGAAAATATACGTACTTGCATGTGTATATACAATTTTCCCTCGATTTATACAAACAGAAACACAATTTATACATTTCGCTTCTGTTTGTATAAGTGAGAAAGGCGAGGATGGCGAGCGAAATTTGGGAGAGTAACGAGTGAGATCTGGAAAAAGGGAGAGAGGGGAACAAAAATATATGTATTTATACAATTTTCTCTGCTTTATACAATTAGAAACAATTTTTATACACTTGTGTTTGTATAAAAAGTGAGGAAGTGAGCGAGAGACTGGAGGAGAGTGGCGAGCGAGATATTTGGGAGAGAGGCACCTGACAATTTTTTGCAAACGTTTGCTATGAAGCACAATTAAATCAAATCCTAACTACTCCATTATTTAAGGTTATTAGTTTGCAATTATATACATTTTTCCCCAAAGAAATATCACGAGTGAAATAATAAAAGTTATTATTTCACTCGTGACATTTCTTTCAAATTCCCAGAGTTTTCAAACCCCAATCTTTTAAATGGGCCGAGTCCAATAATGGGTAAATCAAAACAAAGGCCCAATACATAACCCTAGTCCCCAATCTTCTCCCTATAAGAACCAAAAAAACCCCTAAATTCATCTTCTTCATCAGCCGCATTTACAGAGAAAAAGGTGTAGTGTGAGAATCCAATTCTGCAACAATGAAGTACAATCCAAGGGTTTCCTCATCTCGCCGCAAGAGCAGAAAGGCCCATTTCACTGCTCCATCAAGCGTTCGCAGGGTGTTGATGAGCGCACCGCTTTCATCTGAGTTACGTGCCAAGTACAACGTCAGATCTATCCCGGTAAGGAAAGACGATGAAGTTCAAGTAGTAAGAGGAACCTACAAGGGCCGTGAAGGAAAAGTTATGCAAGTGTACCGTAAGAAATGGGTTATTCACATTGAACGTATAACTAGAGAGAAGGTTAACGGATCTACTGTTAATGTTGGCATTAATCCATCTAAGGTTGTTGTTACCAAACTCAGACTCGATAAGGATCGTAAGTCTTTGTTGGATCGTAAGGCTAAGGGTCGTGCTGCTGCTGACAAGGATAAGGGTACAAAGTTCACTGCTGAGGAGGTCATGCAGACTATTGATTAGATTTAAAGTCATCTTTCTTCTATCTCTGCTGAAGAGAGGTTATATCAGTACGTTTTTGGTTTATTAGGGTTTTTGACATCTCTGAATTTTTGGGTTTATTTGATGTTATAATTGAATGTTGCTGAAAGTTGTTAATTTTGGGTTGATTAATATAACTCAAGTTTAATATTTTAACTTGTCTGTCTGTTTCACTTTATTTCTAGTTCTTTCTGCTAGAATGATCGCTTCAACCAGTTTGTGCTTTGAATATAACTTGTGCAATGTTTAGTGACTGAAATGCTTGTTGTTTATTTGGAGGTTCTAGACATGTAGTTTCCGAGGTAGTTAATGAACTGCATAGCTTCTAAACTTGAAGAGATGTTCGTAGTGTATTCTTAGTTTGTACTTTATGAAAATTATGTTAAGCTGCATGTTCAGTTTTGTTCAAGATATGTAGATTTATCTATAGTCCTGTGAGGTTCATTGTAAGCGTTGTAAATTCTTTGTTGTTCACTATCTTGTGATTGAAGTTCTGCATCCTATTCTGTTATAGGATAACCCAAAAAGAGTGGGAGGGATAAATAGGATAGATAGTGTGGCAATGCTAGCTAGATTGGGATTAAGTCCTGGTGTCTTGACTCCATTAATAGCTTGATATCTCAGGTTTGTGGGATTCTTCCTCTGAAGAAATGACAGGAAGTTAATAGAGTAGGTTTTGTAGTTGTTCCATTAATAGGGTCCTCGAAATAGAGGGGAGGGATAAATAGGATTCGTAGTGCTGATCCTAACTAGTTTGGGATTGAGTCCTAGTGTCCTGAATATATAAGGAGGTTATATCTCTGGCTCATAATGTTCTTCTTAAGAAATGGCTGGAAGCAATTAGAGCAAGTGAAACAATTGTTGGGAAGAGAAAGGAAAACTGATAGAAAAGATGTGTAAATGAGAGTGCACATCATATCTGATCTTTTTTTGCCCGCATCCAACCTGAACATTTTAGTTCCAATGGAGAAAGTGGAAAAGATGGTTTAGGTTGCTTTGAAATTTGACTTTTTAATAGAAAATAGAGCTATGAGTCTGAGAACTACAGCATTGTTTAGTCTGTCTTAAAGTTGAAGGTCTAGGTTCTGGATTTGGAACCGCAGGTGGTTGTTGGTGTAACACTGCTGAAGTACCAGGCGACTTGTAAGGATAAGGGTACACAAATTTCACTGCTGAGGATGTCATGCAGACTGTTGATTAGATTTAAAGCCTTCTTTGTTCTATCTCAGCTGAAGAGTGTATCAGTACATAGTTGGTTTATTAGGGTTCTTGAGATCTTTGAATCTTTTGGTTTTTTCTTCTTTAATTAAATGATGCTAAAAATTGCTAATTTTGGTTGTGATCAATATAAATTTAAAGACTTAAACTTCTGTATCTGTTTCACTTTATTTATGTTTCTTTCGGCAAGAATGATTGCTTTAACCAGTTTGTGCTTTGAATATATATATCTGTGAAATGTTTAGTGATTAAAATTGTTAAGAATGCCTTCTTATTAGTTACTAGATATGTAGTTCCGAGGTGATTAAGAAATAGCGTTAGAGTTGTTTGTAGTGTATCCTTGGCTTGTAAGTAACGAAAGTTAAGTTCAGCCTATGTGTTTTGGTTCAGGGGAATATGTAGATTTAGCTCCAGTCCATGTGGCTGATTGTGCAAGCATTGTAGTTATTTTTGTTTACTGTATTGTGTTCTTAGGTTTGTATTTGTTCTATTAATAGGATCAGCCAAATAGAGGTGAAAGGATAAATGCGATTGAGTTGTAGTGTCTTTTGAATCTAGTAATAGGTTTATATCTTGTGCTTATGAGATTCTTTTTCTGAAGAAATGGCTGGAAGGTCCAATGAGCAAGTTTTGCATTTGTTCTAGTAAAGGTTCAGCCAAATAGGATTCATAGTGTTGACTCTTAACTAGTTAGTGTTTTGAATCTATTAGGAGGTTTATATCTTGGGCTCATAGGATTCTTCTTAAACGAGGCAGGAAGTGAATAGAGCAAGTCAAACACTATAGTTGGGAAGAGAAGACACAGATGGAAAATATGTGTGAATGTGAAGACGCAGCACCATATGTTTTGAATAACAATGTTCCATGTTGTATTTAATCTTTTCTGCCTGCATCCAACCATTTTGTTCTAAAGGATATTGGTAAGTTTAGTTTTTTTTGTTCATATTAGATTTCTTTCAATGAAAAATGGTGCGAACTTTAAGTCGATGACAACTTGATCATTGTTTGAATTGTCTGGTTAACTGAAAAAGTGAGTTTAGGGTGAGATTTGGAAGCAGAAGTGCCTGAGAATTATAGCAAAAGGTGGTGTGTCTTTTGAAATGTGATGCTAAAGCCCTCTCTCTGATCCAATATGAATATTTTCGTTCTGAATCCATGGAGCTGGGGAATGTTAGTGCCCTTTAAAATTTAGGTTACCGATTTATCATCCCACTGATGTATCAAATATCGCGTATTATGTGTTTGACAAAATGATGAGAGTAGTCCTTAATTTTTGTGGGTCTCGGAGTCAAAACACAAAATCATAAACGACGTATCAAAAAATTAAAACCAAAAGAGTGAAATTGCTAGCCATGTCTTTGAACAACATTAAGATCGTTAAGATATTCAATTAAAATCACTGTTTTTTTTTTTGAAAAAACTGAAATCCTACCCTTTTTCCTCAATTTTTTTTGATAAACTTAAATCGCTGCATGCACAGCAATTTTCCTCAAATTTGATTGTTGATATAATGAATAGAACCCTCACACTTCCATCCCTTTCCTCCTCTTTCGTCCTAAGTTTTCTTTAAAAAAAGAAAGTAGCAATAATTTTAAAAAGCAGAGAGAAATGTCAAATGTGAAGAGTGAGCTATTTCAGTTTTCCAAAGAAAAAAAAATTGGAGGCAAAATGCTCTGCTTATGCAGCGATTTCAGTTTCTTAAAAAAGACAAATAATAAATTGATCAAATTGATGCTCCAACAGCAATTTTAATAGAACTTTTTAACAGCAAGAAGGTGTTAATTTTGTTAGAAAAATATCGCTCTGCCCCTTTTTGTTTTTTATATACAGGTTATGTTTTTTGAGGAAAAAAATTGTTGATTTGTCTCCGGAAAATAAGGCTGTTTGGTTTTGATAAAATGTCATCTAATTTGAACCAAAATAAGGTTGTTTTTCTCTTTTTGATTTTGTTTATTGTTTTGGTGCGGTATTTTTTCGGTTGTATCATATACAAAAACCACATCTTTTGTATTGTATAGTTATATTGGAACGATAAAAAAAGAGTCCATAAGTGTATGTCAAATTGGTAACACATTCACATCACCTGATTTAAAAAGGATGTGCCATATTCGAGGACAATTTCTGTATTGAGGACATACATACCCACCCTCCTAAAGATTTGTTGATCTCTTAATGTATACAAAATAATGTGTAACATTTGCAAAAAAATATGACACTTTTGGTTTCCACATTCTTAAAACTATACGGCTTCCTACCAGGAGCAGAGAGAATGTTCAATTTGATTTTCATTTTTAAGTAAAGATAAATAAAACAAACACGTACTCAAAAGTTGAACAAAATACGTCCACCTCCATATTTGTTTGGATATTTGTGCTCAATTTCAGCAAAAAACTTCTCTTTAAAAGATATTAGCTAATCGCACTTGTTTACTTTTGAAGACAAGTACCAAATATTTTCTTTCATACCAAACAGCAGTTTTTCTCCGCTAGGAGGATGAGAGACTAATGCTGTTTATTTGCATTATAACCTATGAGAACTATTGCCTGAAGGTCTCTAAATAATCTTTCATTTAACCAATCAATGTAATTAGATGGATATGACTACCCGACGAAAACAAAAACACTTACTCAGGTAACTGGACTTCTTACGTTAAAAAAAAATTGCTCTCTCAAAAAAGGGTAAAGACAAATAGAAAACTGTGAAATGCCACAAGCTGGTCTATTTTGGGAACCACCTATAGGAACAGATCCATTCCTGAAAAAAAAAAGTGTCTATGAACTTACTTATTGAGCGCCTCCTTTCACGTGCCACCCCAAAGAATTTCCTTTGTGTGAGTTCACGAATGGCAGGCTGCTGTCTTATCAAGGCTTAAGAGCTAGTGCCACGCCAAACTTGGGAGTCTTATCCAAGGCTTTGGTGTCGAATTCACTAGAAATGGTCAACAATGACTTTGGAATCACCTCATGCTGCAACACAGCCCCCAAACTTCCATGATTGTTGAGCTTGAGTTTCACAATTGTCAAGCAATCCACAGCATAGGACCCTCCAACTGTAAATGTGTTCTCATTTGTGGAGAATCGTCTAGTGATTTCACCTGTAGCAGCTGTCGTCTTCAGTGCATCCATATGATGTATATACGATGCCTTTATGGTGTCCCCTTTGTCTCCTCTTAAGGCCAAAAAAAGAGCAACAAATATCACAAACTCAAATCTTTTTTATCAAGTGTGCTTCTAATGGCACAAGTTATGGACATTTATGCTTAAACTTACAAGATTATAGCAGCACAGGAATCTGGTTTTGTCACGCTAATGCCAGCAGTATACTTTGTTAGTTTACTTGTTGCAGTCTCATAACTTGCCTCTGCACCAAGAGCAAAAGTTGGAGTACCAAGTGTGATTGAAAGATCTACTGCAGGACATTGTTTCAGAGCAACAGCAGTGGTGAAGGTTGCGTGATGGTGAAAATATTGAGTCTCTAGCTGAAAAAAAAAGAAAGAGCAAGACAAGTTTTGAGAAGGGAGAACTCTTTTATCATTTCCAGCAATGGACCCAAGAAATGAGCCCAAAAGAGATGGAAAGATCTTACCCTGCCAGAACTGTAGTCAGGGAATTTCAGAGAGGCAATGGTTTTTGTGGATGGGACGATGTCAGTCAAAGTAAGAGTTGTTAAAATCTGCAGGAAGATAGAAATGTGAAGGATATCCAGCAAAAACAAACATCATTAAGAACATCAAGGCGTGAGCAACACACATTTGATCCTGTATCAACTTTGACATCAATCAAAGTGTTCTTATATTTGTAAAGCGCTCCTACATCTCCAGTTGAAAGCCCTCCTTTCTTCACTGCGGTTGATGTAAGGGCCTGCACTAAAAAATCGTGATTAGAGAACATGAAATTTGGTCTCCATAGATCTATTGCTAAAATAATTTAATAAGAAGA